TTCAATGTTGTATGAAATTTTATCCTTGGATTTGGGTTTGTGTCTTGGTGGATTATTTTTCTGAGTCTTATGTTGTTTGAATGGTATATGAGTAAAATTGAGCCAGCGGTTTGGACCCATTACAAGCATTTTGAATGTCTGGATTGATGGAACCTATTCTTAAAATCATACTATAATTACTCTCATAAGGGGAACTACAACACTTGAACAATAATAAGCTCATGATAAGGCATAATGAACATAGGAACACAACAAAAAGGCACCCATTTGAACAATAAGCTCGTGATAAGACATAATGAACATAAGAACACGACCCAAGGGGCATTTGAACGATAAGCTCGTAATAAGACATAATGAACATAAGAACACAACCAAAGTTTTAATAGCTTGGTTTAACTAGCTCCGGCGAAGTATTCTTTTTTCTCCCATGGAAAATCTTTTTAAATATATGCAGTCACACAGTATCACTTTAATCAAACACAAACTGTATCAAACTCATTGTGAAAAACGAAGAACACAAGATCAACAAAGCACAATATGTATTTCAAGCACATAATGTTCTTTACACAAAATAGACAAGAATCAACACATATAACTTCCAAAAAGCATATATAGTTTGATTAGCACCAAGAGTTAAGCAGTGGCAGATGTCTTGGCAGCAAGATGGGTTAAGGCACGCTTATGATAGGCATAACGCATCTTCTTGTATTTCTGTACAAATGCTGAAAGATCAATCTCTCTATCAAGAAGCTGCCTGTGCAGGGCCTCTGACTCCTCTTCTGTTTTGTTCATGGTATCTGAAATAATACAAAACAAGTAATTACTTAGTTTAAACTCATCTAGAGCTAGTCTAATCCACTTGAGTAAGACAAAGTTGATGAAAAATAGGAAAACATGACTCGGCTGACGATGTTCCAGTTTGCCAAGCTGAGAGATTTTCTTAAATAAATTCAATTACCTTCAAGTCGATTGAGTAGAGATGAGGGAGAATAATACTTGAGTGTCTCTTCCTTTTTCCTCTCTAATTCATGCAATTTTTCTTGAGCGGTAGCTAGCTCACTCGTCCGAATTATTCTGCACTGAGGATGGAAAACATGAAAGATGAGATGGTGTAATCAATGCACCCGGGAGTTAAACTTCAGGGAAAAATTTTACAAAACACACAGTTCACCTGATTCCTCAGCTCCAATATGCGTGGTTCTTTCTCCAGATTCTCTCCTGCAATTGAGTTCGTGTATTCTGTAATTATATGTACAGTTATACATTCAAAACTTAGCTGAAAATGCAGCAGAAAGAGAACTTACTAGCAAGCTGCAGAGTTTCGTTCCTAAGTTCATCTCTGACCTGGTTAGGTGATATGTAAAATGGTGGTGTTAGATTTATTGCCGAAAAATAACTCCAAGAAAACTATGTTAAAATAGAATGGGATGAAGAAGCACAGGAAACAAGACATAAACATGAGAAACCATACCCGAATGCATACGAACAAAAATATACACAAAAAATAAAGGATTTACAACAAAAAAGATATGCCTTTCTCAAGGTTTAGGACGAAACAGAACCCCATCAGATGAATGTAATAAGATAAATAAAATCCAGCAATGAATGTCTTGGCACACATCACCTAGGGCAAACAGTTTAGAAGGAAAACACAAAAAATCTTCCTACTAATGAGGTTTTATGAAGGTCACTCAGATATTCAATCTCTTAAAGCAACATTTAGTCATAAAAAGTCCAGACCAAAAAAAAAAAAAAAAAAAAAAAAAAGAACAGAA